TATGGCAGTCCCAATTCCCATTATGTAATAAATAGTCATTCAATAAATATTTGCCAATTAGTGAACCAATGGGGGCTATCAGGGAAGTAAAATCCCTAGAATTTGGCTATTGCCTAGAGGTGAAAGAATGAAGCTAAAAATGGCACAGTGTTTCTGGCTTCAGTAGTAGGCTAGAGGGTGCTACCTTTCCCCATAACTCAGCACAGAGGGGAGCGCAGAGTAGTTGAGGAAGATGAGTTTTGCCCTGGATGTGTTGAAATTGATACTTTTGGAACAGTCCCCATAGACGGTTGAACAAAGGGTCTGGATTAAAGCTCTGGAAAGATGGGATTGGACAAGAAGATGTATAGCATGAGAGGAGAAGTGACTCTTCAGTGCTCCCAGCCCTGTGTGGCACCACCATCCACCTTGTTACCCAAGTGGGAATTCAGGAAGTCGTCCTTGACATGTTCCTCTCCCTCACTTCCACATGGACCCATCACCAAGCCTGAGGATTCCATCTCTTGTCTCTCACACACATCAACTTCTTTCCATCTCCCTGCCCTCACTGGAGTCTGAGCCAACTACCTCTCTCCTGTGTTACCGCAATGGTCTACTTGATTTCCCAAATCCACTCCAATCCTTTCCACTCACCGTGGTCCAGCCACGTCCGTCTTCTCTCACTTCTTGAGAGCACCAATCTCCTTGTCTCAAGGCCTTTATGCACGAGCTTTCATCTGCCGAGAACACCACTCCCTCCATCCTCCACCTCCCTCCACCTGCCCGTCTCTGGCCTACTCTTCAGTATTGGCCTAAACCTCACACCCTCAGGAAGGCCTTCCCTGACTACCTCCCACCTCACCCACCTTTGTAGCCTCAGAAATTTAACTTCATTGGAAACATCCTGGGGTGATTTGGGTTTTGGTGACATGTAAAAAAACAAAAACAAAAACAAAAACCTTTACAAAAACCTATTATCAAAATGGAATTATTAATTAAAATGAGAAGTCTAACTATTGAGGGTCAGAGGTTCACAAGTACGGACAAATGCATTGTTTCCCTTAGAAGGCAAATCTACACAGGAAGTCAAATGGCTTGTGAGTACAGGCTCAGACAAGGGGCATTAGCTTCTTGATGTAAATGATTACATTTGCTCAACTGTGATTCCTCCCAGTGTGCCCATTTCCACCACAGGGGTCTCCCTTGACACCTGTTCCTGGGCCATGACTCCCAGAGTTGAAGACCCCCTGCCTTTGTCTGCCTCTAACTCCTAAGCTTTGTCTGCCTCTAACTCCTAAGCTTCAGGAGTGTGGCATGGCTTCACCCTCAGGGGTAATGTTCTGACCTGCCCTCCCATCAGATGTAAGCTTTTGCTCTGGCTGTGTTAACACCAACCTGGTTAATGCTTAGTAAGGTAAAGGTCAGACCCAGGAGCAGTCTTTTCTTTTAGATGATTTCGCATATGTCTGCTTTGATCTACTACGTCTTTTGTAGTTCTATTTTAAGATGAAAGCAGACTGGTGAAAGCAGACTATTATAGGACTTAAATCCACTTCTTTCGAAGTCTATTATTTACTATATTTGTTTAAATGCCTTCAAGATCTGTACTGGTGACTGTTAGCAAATGGCATTCTACAGCCTTGAAGCTACAAGCCTTCTAATAATGATTGGGGGTGGGGAGTGTTAGTGCAGGTTCAAGAAGCAGATTTTACTCTTAAAGACGAAAGCCTTTTAGAAGGAAGTTGTTGGAATAAAGGGAAGGCTGAAAACTTTCATATGCATAAAACGCCGTGCTGTACTTAACCACCTCAAAAATATTCCTGCAAGGTTGTCTCTAAGAAGCCACCTTGGAAAATCCTGACCTCCTGTCAAACTTAAACTCCCACCTCAACGTATTCCATGCTAATCAGGTACCATGGGTAACTTTATATAACACTTGTAATATTTAGCTGAAAAGCCTTAAAACCTTCTCTCTGTTTTCTACCTCAGACCAAAGGGGGCATTTAATGACCAGATCACTCTCATAAATTTATTGTCTTGAAACAAGAGGTAGGAGAAGGTATTTTTTTGGTTTGTTTTTTGTTTGTTTGTTTTAGAGAGAGAGCATGCACATATGTGCGTGAGTTGGGGTGGGGGGAGTCAGGAAGGAGGAGAGAGAGAATCTCAAGAAGGTTCCACACGCCGGGCATAGCCCGAGGCGGGGCTCCACCTCACAACCCTGAGATCATGACCTGAGCCAAAATCAAGAGTCAGTCGCCCAACTGACTGAGCCACCCAGGCACCCCTTGGAGAGGTTTTGTTTTGACAGAGGGCACTCCAATGGGGCCAATCCATTGTGGCCTTCTCTTATTTCTTGTTTGGGTTGCTTTTGAACCTTGGCGTGAGTTTCCATTCTTGCCATGTTTTCTTTCAAACATGCTAGCCATGGATGTAGGGAGGTGGGAGAGAGGAGTGTGGCATGGCTTCACCCTCAGGGGTAATGTTCTGAGAAGTAGCTCCTCCCAGGACGCTGACAGCTTAGGTGTGCCCAGCCTCAGTCCTGGGTGGGGGGTGCCCAGGGCCTGTATGGCATGCATAGAAGCTGCCTGGATATTCATTTCAAAGTGTTAAGAGTGTGCCCTGAACATCAGTGACTGCCCTAAGTAACCCATTCTCATCCCTGAGCGAGGAGAACGATGTGGAGTTGAGAGGAGACCCACGGGGATGGGTCCATACCTCTGAGTTGAACAGGGTTTGCTCAGTTACACATCTGGTGTTACCAGTATAAGAAAGCAATAAGGAGGCGCCTGGGTGGCTCAGTCGGTTAAGCGACTGCCTCCGGCTCAGGTCATGATCCTGGAGTCCCAGGATCGAGTACCACATCGGGCTCCCTGCTCAGCGGGGAGTCTGCTTCTCCCTCTGACCCTCTTCCCTCTCGTGCTCTCTATCTCCCTCTCTCTCTCAAATAAATAAATAAAATCTTTAAAAAAAAAAAAAAAGAAAGGAATAAGGATACCAGCACATCAAAATATAAGCAATTCTAAGCAATACACACATATGCATGTAATTGTTAATATCCACGACAGCTATAAAAGGCCTATGTGACCTTTAAACAAAATTTACACAAAACTGAGCTGTGAGTAGAATTTTATTCATTTTCTTAATTGGAAATTGGTTATACGAACAATAGGAAAGAATACAAGTGATCCCTAAGAAAACTAACAAAATACTCACTTCATTTCAAAATAATACTTAGTAGCAAAAATAGCTTGAGAAAATTAATACCATTTAAATCAGACAATGTACAAGGCTTTAGAATGTTCCTATTTACACGTCTGTGTGAGCACACCAGGAGAAGGCACAGAGAACACTCTAGAGCTCCTCGTGAAGACGGGCCTGAAGACACGTTAGAGGCTCTGGTTTGCTCAACCACGGCCCAGGTTCTTCACTCCTGGTTATCTTTGGTTCTGCTTGCTTTTTTGTGTCCTTCCCCCGACCCCCCCCCCTCCCAAATCTTATTTCACAAATTTCCTAACAAGGGAGATCTCCCGCGAACAATGAAATTTAGTTTTTCCACGGGAATGCACATGACTCTATGACAGTTGCAAATTCAGGGCTTCAAAAGGCTTTGGTTACACGGTTGTTAAATTGGAACAATGTTTGTGGTCCCTAGAAAAGAAAGAAGTGGACTTCTCCCCAGATATTTGTAGGTTTCCTTCCCCTCTTCTGTTTATTCAGGCAGCAAACTGTGTGTTTTGCACTGAGCGCTGCAAACCCAAAGGGGAAAAAAGCCTTTAGGCTTCCACGATTTCTCTTTTTGAATCCTCCAAAATACTGAATTGATATAGATTGAAGTAGAAGGTGAGTGGAACTTTCCATGGCATCCTCAGCATGTTTGGGTATAGAATGTTTATAGGACTGATAACTTTAAGATTAAAACAAACAAAAAAACAAAACAAAACAAAACAGGAGAACCCTTTACCGGTATGTCTTGTCAGGTTTCTGAGTGAGGATATTGTGAGCCTGCAGAAAATAATGATTTTTTTTTTTTTTAAGTAAGAAACTCAACAACTTCCAAGCACCCAGAAACAATCTGACCTTCACTTTCAGTCTTTATAAGATATAAGACATCCTCAGATGAATTGCAAATGTGGTTTTAAAGGGCCTTGGTTGTTGATGACTTGGTTCTATGCCTTCCTGGCGTTTACGAAATCAACTTGGTGATTAAAGTAAAAATGGCTATGCCAAATATTTTATAAAAATGTAATGTTTCTTTAATATCTAGGAACTGGTGAAGCCAGGAACTTCTCTTATTTTACCTCATTGAAAAAAACAAATCCATTCTCATAAGAAAAAGATCATAAACTTTATCTACAACATCCTTGGCGATGTCTAAGAAAAATAACACTACAAAATAATTTTGACTGATAAAACCCCTTTCTCCCTCCTACAGCTGTGTCAGCTGGAAAGAATCAACCATCTCCTTGTAGGAGAATGCCGCATACACACAGGGCAGCATCCAGGCCCTTCTGCCCAGGAGCTGGAGAATGAGCTGTGGGCACCACGGCTGTCCCGCATAACTTGAATTGATTTTAAACAAGTCAAACTGCTTATCGGAGAATTCTGGGTTGACTTTGATTTTGTGACCACGAATTCCATTCACTGAAGCCTTTGTTGGTTTGTAGAGCTTAATTTTTAATACTGTTAACATCATGTAGCCAACCAAACACCAAGAATATCAATAAATAACAAGATCCGGTCTCATGTCTTCTTCCTGTTGGAGCATTTGACTTTATGAATAGATTACATGTCTAGCACCAACGCCCCGCCAGGGCAGACCATCTGCACGTGTCTCTCACATGTTTGGGGATGTTCCTGGAGTCTAAAAGAAAGCCACAGAAATGAGCCTAAGAGCAGATTGCCAATGGGTTAGTGTGAATGTTGTCGCTAGTGAAAAACAGCAGTTTGCTGAGACCCTGGGAGTCACCTGGGGCCGTCAGTCAGTCCCCCCTTGAGACCTGGGCTGTGGGTGGGGCTTGCTCTCACAAAGGGCTTTCAACCATCCTTTTTTTCTTGGCTTGGAGGTAGAAGATGCGGTTTTCTTCAGGATAAGTGACTTTGCTGAGGGGCATCCTGTAGATGTTGGCATTTTTCGTGGTCAGCAAGAGGAACAGTAGTGTGGCCAAACAGAAGGGCCAGGTGCAAGCCGGCAATCCTGCCTGAAGGGGAAAACACAAACCACATGCCCCTTTGAGATCCTGTCACAGAGCACCACCCTTCATCCTATTCTCATTCAGCCCAGGGGGATGCGTCCCTGGGGCGCCGATCTGGACTCGGCTTCTGCCCACCGGGACCGAGCCCAAGGACCCAGTCAGACTGCATCTAGCAGGAGAAACGTCGCCATCTGTTCCTCTCGTGGTCCGTTGCATGTCCACCGTGCACATCTTTCCCTCCTCTCATCCAGTCAGGCTTCCTACACCGCATGTTCGGAGCTGAGCCTGGGCGACCAGAGGTGTCACTCCGCAAGCCACCAGGGGTTCCTGACCCCTCACCACACCCACAGGGCCCTCCTTGATTGGTTCGACCTGTGGTGACCTCTCTCCTCCTGACTCCCACCCAGGCCAGTCTTGGACTTTCCTTCCTTTCGTTCCAGTTCCCAAGCAGGCTCTAAGCTCTTGGAGGGGAGGTCCTTCCTCTGGGCTGTTCTTGGCAACTCATGCAGTTCTGGAGAAGGTCACGGGCAAGACAGTGCCGAAAAGGAAGGAGGCACTAAACAGGCAATGATTTTGCCTATTAGGTAATTCAGCTAGGACATGGGTCTGAGTACGTCTTACTGACGACTGACGGGGGCGTTTAAAAAATGACAAGGGGTATGAAAAACGAATGGCTCAATTAAAAACAAAACCCAAACCATTTGAGTCTGTAGGCAATTATACTTTTCTCCCTTTCTTGATTTCTCAACCACTACCTTGTTCTGGCTTTCTGTTCAAGTAGAAGTTACTCTAAAGTCAGTTGCCTGACCCTCAGAGTTAGAGTATGAACTTGATAAATATGTTATACAAGCTTTCACTTTTTTAAATTATGCAATCTGTTTTTTTTTTTTAAATTTTTTTTTAATCTGGTATTTTTTTAGCAAGCCCAGTGATTGTAGTTTGGACTAAAATTTACTATGTTGTTAGCAGGTATGTGGAACAGGCAGGTCCAGGAGATGGGAAAAGTCGTGGCAACCGCAGCCCTGGCTCCTGCTGAAACACCACCTGGGGGACCCCAGGAGGGTTTCCACATCACTGAAAATGGATCAATCATGCTGATGATAAAGCGAGATTAAAGCCAACTCACCACAGCCATCACGTGGGACAGGCTGACTCCAAGGTAGGCCGTGAACAGAGCTACAAAAAAAGGGGAACAACAAGACTTAGTAGGTGCACTTTTCATTATAGGGAAGACTGCTTTCTGGCATAAATCTCCTGGAAATCCATGTTTCACCAGCTAGCTCGGCACCCTGGTTACAAGTATGAGCTTACAGTCGGCAGCTCTGGGTTCAAATCCAGACTTCACTGCTTAGGAGCTTGGTGGCCCCCATTCTAAGCCTCCACTTCCTCACCTGCTCAATAGAGGTGATAGGAATTTCTCACGGGGTTGGTGTCATCATGAAAGGAGATAACACTTGGGTTTAGCACACAGTTAGAGGTACTCAATAAAGGGAGTTTTCTGTGGTTACTATTCTGTTGCTATTATTGCTGATCCCTAAGGACAAGGCCTTCTATGGCAAATTAACTTCCCTGTTATTTTATCTGAGCATAGTTGAATTAAAATGATGGGGGCGCCTGGGTGGCTCAGTCTGTTAAGCGTCTGACACTTGATTTCAGCTCAGGTCATGACTGCAGGGTTGTGCAATCGAGCCCCACTTTGGGCTCCACACTCAGTGTGGAGTCTGCTTGAGAATCTCTCTCCCTCTCCCTTTGCCCCTCCCCCACTTGCTCTCTCTCTCTAAAATAAGTAAAATCTTAAAAAAAATGAAATGTATGAATGTTTCTTGAGATAGCATGGTTTCTGTGCAATCACAATATATGCATGTAGGAGTCTCATATTAATGGTTAGAATTCACAGTTACAAAAAAATCATGGTATAAAAAAATAAAAAGCAGAAACTGACCACAAACTTGGGATTTCTTCCTATAAGAACATTGTTCCAAATACCATTAAGATTGGCATATTGGCCAATGAATTCATATGCTGTGTTTTTATTTACTCGAGTGAGCACAGATCTTAAAGTAGGTAATTTGAGTCTGTGTGTGACCTTCAACGTAAAACAACACACACAAAGATCTCAAGTAGTTGGGCGTCTGGGTGGCTCAGTTGGTTAGGCGACTGCCTTCGGCTCAGGTCATGATCCTGGAGTCCCGGGATCGAGTCCCCACATCAGGCTCCCTGCTCAGCAGGGAGTCTGCTTCTCCCTCTGACCCTCCCCCCTCTCATGTGCTCTCTCTCTCTCATCCTCTCAAATAAATAAATAAAATCTTAAAAAAAAAAAAAGATCTCAAGTAGCTAATCATCAATTGAAGAGGGGGCTCAGGGAGGTTCAGGGAAGCTCAGGTTTCACAAAGGCATGCTGCAGAATGACTGTGCATTGGCCACACAGCTCCCCGGGCCATGGCGGGCTCTGTTAGACATGCCCACCACCTAGACCTCCAGGGCAGGGAGAAGTGACATGAGCCCCCAGGGGGGCGGGGTGGGAAGTGGGGGGAGGGATTCTGATCCTATTTACTTTACCATCCTTTCATTGATCTTTGGTCTTTTTATCCTGGTATTTTTGTTCAACAGTATACCTCATTTTTTCACATCTGAATTGTCTCATGCTACGGGGAAAGGCTTGTCTTGGAAACAGCCTGGGCTTCAAACCCCAGCTCTGCCATTTTATTGTATAACAAATCACTGAACTTGGGAATCTAGTATTATCGTCTGTAAAAGGGCAACTTGACGATGCACTTTACAGGGAGGAGATGAATCTCAAATGCAGTATTTCCACAAACAGCCGCTGTCAACCCATCCATGTCCCTGGGGGGTGGGGGGAGGACCACGATGCCGCTCTGAGCAGAAGCGGGCAGCGGCTTGGTTTGGAAGAGCTTCTTTGTTTGGTTTTGATAATTTCCTTCTTTTTTTTCCCCATTTCATCCTTCCTTCTTTCCTTCCTTCCTTCCTTCTTCCTTCCTTCTTCCTTCCTTCCTTCCTTCCTTCCTTCCTTCCTTCCTTCCTTCCTTCCTTTCCTCACTCATTCAAC